TGGAGTGCACAATCTATTATCAAAAGTTGAAAAGATTGAATCTCCAATTTGATCATCTTTTAAAAAAAATATAATTTTCTTCACATAGAATTTTGAATTAAAACTGAATTCGACATCGAAATATTAAAAGATTAATGTGGGCAACTTTTCGTAAAGAAAACAATTAATAAATTTTTTTATACAACGTTAACGAAGTACACTACGCTTTTCTTCTTCTTTTGTTTTCCAAACTTTTGTTGCTTTCTATTTTTATTATGGTTAACGTCATTCGCACTTTTTCATATTTTGTTAAAGAAAAACGATTTTTCTTTTTTATGCGATAATTAGGAAAATGTAAGATTTAAAAATCAATTTCATTCATGGAACGATGATTTTCAATGGTTTAATCTTTTCACAGTGTTTTATTACTAAACATTAAATATAATATCACAATGTATAAACTGATTTTCTTAAAATATAAAAGTTGAATATTAGCTTTTTATAGTATTTACCCGCGTATTAACGCGGGTCTTATTCTAGTTAGGATTCATACACCAAACGATTTCTTTGAGACACATATATAGTTAATTCATCTAGGAAACATCTATACTATTAGCGGTTAATTGTTATATGGTCACGAGGCTCACGACTCTTATAGAACAACTGAAAGTAAGAAACAAATGGGAGAAGAACAATATACGTATAAAATTATACATCCAAATAGTACGACTTCAGTTCAGTTTTAAATCCACTCGAACCAAAAGCTTTTGGCTCTTTCACTTTCACATATGTCCTATTATACAATAATGTAACAACAAACAAAAAAAAATGGAATATAAAATATTTTTCTTTATATGAAATTTAAATAGCTTATCAATCATTTTTTTCTTATATTATTTCTGGTTAATATCCCCGGAATTCATGACTTATCAATTAATTTGTTTCAGAGGACGTTACTTGTAAACAAGAAACCTAGATAGTTTTATCATTTTTATTAACAAAGGCAGACTCAGCCAAGTCTATGGCACGAGCCAGTCCAGCAGCTTTGTTCTGGCACTCACGAAGCTCATCCTCTGGGTCACTATCTGCTACAATCCCTGCACGGGCTTGCAAATAAGCAACCCATTCACGGCGTGGTGTGTCTGTCTTTGACGAGCTTGTGTTGGGAACACATTGGTCCTAAGTGCCAAAGCTATGTCCATGTCTCCTGTGAAAGAAATACTTCCGAATCCACCACTGTACGGTCCTCTTCTTGTCACGTCTAGCTCATCGATCAACTCCATAGCCTTTACATGTCACGAAAGTGTCTCTCAAAAACCAGTCACTTTGAAAGATACTATAAAACAAAGTCTTTTATGTAATAACTTGTAGTTTAATTTGCCTTTGGAGCTCCACTAACGGTTCCAACTGGTAAAGCCGCACGAAGCGTCCCAACAAGTCAGATTCTCTTGTAACTCTCCAGTCACCTGTTTACATGGTTCAAAGTTTATGAATGAGCTAGCGTTTGTGTTTACATGTAGAGACAAAACAGAATATGGAAGTAGTTTAAGATGAGGAAAGAGTTTGATGATTGTAATGTTTCCAAGAAAATTTGGTATTTACCGTTGAGCTGATATGCATGACATGGGAATAACGCTCTATATCCATGAGCCTTTCCACCTTCACCGAGCCATTCTTCGACACCTGAATGCAGATACGAACATATAAGTCAGTTGTTATGGCAAAGAGATTGGCATAGAAACGCACAAGAAGTTAATAACCATTGGTTAAACCAAGAATACACCATATTTGATCCTGAGAAGCCGACTAACATTTCCAACATCGTTACGACCCAAATCAACGAGCATGATGCGTTCCGCACATTGCTTTTCGTCTTTTAATAGTTTCTTCTCCAGCATTTGATCCTCTTCGAAACTCTTTCCCCGTCTAGCAGTTCCTGCTAGTGGTCTGATCTGTTCACAATCTTGTTCTGTTTTACAAAAGCCAAAAAAACCAACCGAACCACCTGTTTTAATCGCAACTAATTTGTCATTATAATCTCAAAACTAAAAACCAAACTAGTAAAACAAATCTCTCTCACCCCAAAAAGCATCAGGAAGATCATCAATCAATTGAGGTTTCCATGTCTCTGAGATTCTTCTAGGAATCACCATTGGATCTTCAACTTCCTCTGTATTCACAGTACCTCTCACATGATCCATCACTGTAACTTTGTTCTCCTTTGCCACAATTTCCATTGTCGGATGCGCTCCAACCACAATCGTCCCTACAAATGGTTTAAAATCATCAGTTTGATTTGACCGAAACTGAAATAATCAAAACAAAAGCTAGAAAGTGTTGATTTCTTACAACAGTAGAAACGTGGTTTCCTGGCTCAATGAGAATTGAACAGAAACAAGCTCTAAACTCTCTTGCGAAGAAGATGAAGATCGAGAGAGAAGATGAGATATGGAAATTGTATTCTATTTCTGTTAATTACACATAATGATATATACAAAGTATTGATGTGTTGTGTTTTTAACGCATTATAACCTATGCTTTCTGAGTTTTATCGAGTGAGTTTAATGCAAAGAAGTAAGGAGTGGAAGCAAAGATGTGGAAATGATTCGGAAGTTTGGCATTCGTTGATGTCTTTCCCACCGATGGATCGAGCTACAAATTTGACACACGTTAGAAAATTGAGTTAGCTTTCATTTTGAAGAAATTTGAAGTATTCCAACGGTGCGATCAAAAGTTATGAAAATTTTGGTGAAGATATGTCTATCTGACGAGCAAAAGAAGCAACTGCAGAAAATGGAGTCGGATCGACCGATCCTAAAGTGGATCGATCGATCSAKCCAATTTATTTAAACTGCCGGATTTCCTACGGATCGACCCACGCGACGATTGCCACTCGRATCGACCGATCCTAAAATGGATCGATCGATCCGACCAAAAAAATCTGCAAATGAGAAAGTCAAAAATCAGCTCACCTAATCCTACTTTCTTTAACCAAAACGTGTTTTAGTGCTCCAAAAACGTGGATTTGGCCATTTTTATCTGTTTTTCACTCTCATTACTAAAAAAAAC